GCCACGTATTGTACAATTACAATTACAGGAAATGTAAAAAATGAGCAAATCCATAGAGGCAGAAAGTAGATTAGTGGCTGGTAGGGACTTTTGAAGGGGCTGTGTGTGTGGGGGGGAACTGCTTAATAGGTACATGGTTTTATTTTGGGGTAATGAAAATTTTTTTGAACTAGATAGAGGTGATAGTTGTACAACAATTGTGGATGTACTAGTTGCCACTGAGTTATACACTTTAAAATGGATAAAATAGTAAATTTTATGTTATGCAAATTTTATCACAAGGACAAAGAAAAAAGAATCAGTAGCCTATACTTTCCTCATAGAGGTGAACTTTAAGAAACTAGGCAAAATCTGGATGTGAGTGGATTATTCAGGAAAAAGACACCCTAAAATAGCACGCCGTATCTGTGCCCTCAGAGTCTTGGGCCCTTGGTAGGGTAAGGAGTAAATGGTTTTTCAGAGCTTGACTGGAGTTGTAGATATAATCAGATTCCTATGATCAAGGGCAAAGAGGCTAGTTTCCACCTGTCATTTGAAATTCTATTGATTGGAAAGTCTGGCCGTAGAATCTGGGAGATTTGTGCCTTTCTTTTCTTTTCTTTTTTTTTTTTTTGAGTTGGAGTCTCACTCGGTCGCCCAGACTGGAGTGCAGTGGCTGCTTCCGGCCACCGCAGCCTCGCCTGCTGGGCTCCAGCGATCCTTCCACCTCAGCCTTCCGAGTAGCCTGAATTACAGGCATGCGCTACCACGCCCGGCTGATTTTTTAAATTTATTTATTGTAGAGATGAGGTCTCGCTGCCGAGGCGGGTCTCGAACCCGCGGGCTCAGGCAATCCACTCACCTCAGCCTCCCAAAGGCGCGGGATTACAGGCTGAGCCACCAAGCCCGGTTTGTGCTTTTCTTATGTTAAGAGACTGAGATTACTGAGACCATTTTTCTTAAAAGTGTGGGGTGGAGATTCAGGTTATTTAATATGAAAATAAACAGAAGGATGATCCCATAGGCTGAGGTTTAGGGACATGCAGTCAATTGACAAGTAACATTTACGTAGCCAACACCTGGGAAGGGAAACCTAGCACACCCAAAATTGAGAAGGAAAGGTCAGGGAGAGGTCATGACTTATGCTCTCAGTTATTTCCAAATGGACCTAGCAGGGAGGGAAGCTATCAAGAGAAGTTGAAAAACTCTCTTCTGGAAATTCAGCTTGTATACTTTTAAAATTTTGTTTGTTTAGTATCTGCCTCCCTTGCTGGACTCTAAATTCCACAAGGGCAGGAACCATGCCTATTATATTTACCACTGTATATTCAGTAGTGCACATCGTAGCAAGTGGGTTCTCAGAACATCTCTGTTGATTGACATCCAGAGACCATAGGTAAAGCCCGTTGGTGAGGGATAAGTGCTGATAGCAGGCCTCCCGAATGAGGTGGTGGAAGTGGAGCAAGCCAAGTCTGTAAGCAAATTTTGACAACACGGTGCTACGGAGGCAGAGAATGGGTTCACTCAGCACTGTGGGAGAAAGAGTGGGAGTCAGAGGCTTCCTGGAAGTAATGATACCTGAGCTGAGTCTCAAGGGAAGACCAAGGGTTAGTGGGGTCAGAGACTGAGAAGTAGTTCTTGGAAAGAAAGCAACATATACAGGGTCATAGAGGGTTGACCAGTCCTGGGATTGTGGGGCAACTGCTGGGGTCAGCCTGGCTGAGGCTCTGAGTGGTTATGAAGGATAGGCCTGCTGGCCTTGTTGGGATTCCACCCTGATGGCAGTGAGAAGCAACTGGAGGTGGGGGAGACATAGTCAGTTCTGTAGAACCCACTTGGGCAACTATCTGAAGCATGAATTTGAGACTAAATGAAAGTAGAGTAAGTGTTGAAATAGTTTTAGAGAAGGAAGAGAAAGGAGAAGATTGTTTTGTTGAACTAACATTGATTATGGGCATGAAAAAGGGGAAAGATTTGAGAGTGTTTTTTGATAGGTAGATTTGTTGGGATTTAGTCACTGATTGCTGGCCATTGGGAATGAGATTTAAAAAAAAAAAAGCCAAGGATAGATGATGATGACGCTGATTAGCTAACATTGTTGAGTGCTTATGTTCCAGGCACTGTGCTAAGTGCTTAACAGGCACTGTGTCATTTGAGCCTCATCATAGATACTTTTTATCCCCATTATATGGATGAGGAAACTAAGGCTCAGAGAAGCTGTGCCTTGGCCAAGGTCATCTAGTTAGTTATGTAAAGTAGCCAAGGTTTGACCTCAGGCAGCTGGACATGAAGAGCCTGCTCTGAACTACACCTGGTATTGTGCCACGGTTTTTAGTTTGGGTTGGCTGGGTGGGTGATAACAGCACTCCCTTAATCCTAGGAAACAGGATGAGAAAAATGGTTGATTGGTGGTAAAATGACAAATTGAGTTTAGGATAAGTTGAGCTGGAGATACTATAGATTATTCTGTGATATCCAATAGGCACTTGCTAGGCAGGAGGAAAGCTCCAGAGGGATTCTGTGGGAGGTATAGACTTAGAAGGCACCAGCCTACAGACAATAGTTTGTTATGAGAATGGATGAGACAACCTAGGAGAGAACATGAGAGAGAAAAAGGTCAATAATGGGATCAAAGATGTCCTTTGGGTATGGCCATCAGGAAGTCACTGGGGACCTTAATGAGAATGGGGCCCTAATTAGGGTAAGGCAAGAAACAAGAGTGTAGTGATTAGGAGAGAGACAAAAGCTGCTCTTCTAAGAACATTAGCTGCAGAAAGAGGAGAGAATATCGTAACTAGAAGGGATCAGGGGTCCAGAAGGTTTTTAACATTTCTATTAGCCATTAAGATGAGAGAGATTTGTGAATGTTACAGCTAGAGAGATAGCATTAGGGGAAAAGGATGAGTCTGATAATGAATGAGAGGGAAGGGAAGGAATGAAGTGGCTAGGGCAGTGAGGTGAGGGCATTAACCTTTAGAAAGAAAGGAAAACTTCTTTTGAGTCCAGAGAAAAGTACGGTTTGTATAGAACCCACCTTGAACAGGACACAGGGGCTTTAGAAAGGAGAGATTTGGCCAAGGGCTCCAGCTATTGCGCTCTGAAATTCATTGATACATTTGTATTGAGACACCCTTTCCACAGGTTGCTCAAAGCCAATGAGCTTGACAGGGATACAATTCCCAGGGAACCCATTCCCTGGAGATGCGGGACTGCTCTGATGGTTGATCCTGGCTCAAGGACTCATCCATGGTCTTGCTGAACTTCCTTAGAATGCACAGCAGTCTTGGATACTTTCACTCACCCTTCCCTCATTTCTCTCTCCTTCACAGGAGGTCAGAACTGCATTGCATCTGTTGGTTCTTTCAGTATTTCCTGACTCCCTTTCTATTTTATCTCAGAGGAATTTCTCTCAATAAAATCCTTACACATTTAGTTCTGTGGGCATCTGCGCCACGGAGAACGCAGACTAACATAGCCACCCATAGGAACAAGTGCATAAAACCAGAAAGTTGAGCCAGGGAATTCAGATACTCAATGATGGGTATTGAGCCCAGGGGGGCTGTGATGGGTCTGACAGCAAAATGGGTGGCAGTGGGACCCTGGTTCCTTTCTCGTAGAGGTTTGCAGCTGTGACTTCTTACCACATACAAGGTGGATTCTCAGGAAGTCCAGGCAGATGTGACAACACAAGGATGAGTGTGATTATAAACAAACTGATAGGGGGGTGGCGAGCAATGGGGGAGAAGCTCACGGGGGTTCCTACCCAATTATCTGAGAGTAGGAAGTGAGCCAGCCCTTTGAAAGAGTAGCTTCACAATACTTTTCAGAGAGTTGATGGGGTGGGATCTTGGAAGATTTACTGTGGGGAAAGAAAGAGAAAGTTGACAAAAGATGTAATAAGACTGGTGGGAAAAGAGGATGGAAGGGTAGCAGGGGTGGGACATTGCAGGCTTTGGGACACTCTTTGGATTTTATGCTGACAAGTGGAGTCATTGGAGGGTTTTGAGTGGGTGCATTACATGATCTGACTTACATCTTAGAAGGACCATGTGGCCATTGTAGCATGAAAGAACGGAAACAGATCAATTAGGAGGCTACTATCAACATCCAGAAAAGAGATATGGTGTAGAGTGGGGAGGGAACAGTACAGATGCTGGTGGATGAGTAAGTTTCCCTCTGATGACTTTTCTCCCAGTTAAATATGAAGCAAGCGTATCAACCAAGAGAGGGACTGGATGGATAAACAGGATCATACTCTTATCTATATATTGGAAAGGTAGAAAAAAAGTGAAGAAATTAAAAGATCATTTATGAACATTTTATATTTAAAAAATCTTAAAAACTGCATTTTAAAGAAGAGGCTTAAATCTTTTACTGCATTCTATTTTGAGCACTGGTTGTAAGCCTTATCTTTGATAGCATACTGTTTTTAAAAAGTCACTTTATTTTGTATTTGTTTTTTTTTTTTTTGAGTTGGAGTCTTACTCGGTTGCCCAGACTGCAGTGCAGTAGCCGCTCCCGGCCACTGCAGCCTCACCTGCTGGGCTCCAGCGATCCTTCCGCCTCAGCCTTCCGAGTAGCGGGAATTACAGGCATGCGCTACCATGCCCAGCTGATTTTATGATTTATTGTAGCGATGAGGTCTCGCTGCCCAGGCAGGTCTCGATCCGCGGGCTCAGGCAATCCACTCACCTCAGCCTCCCAAAGGCGCGGGATTACAGGCTGAGCCACCGAGCCCGGCTTATTTTGTATTTACCCTGATAAAAGATCAGCACCCAGCTCCTCCACCCAATGAAGTAACTACTTAGTTTCTTTTTTAACTTATTAATGTCTGTAATTCCTGTCTTAATGTAGCAGTAGTTACTGACAATATTCCCTATCCACCAGACTCCTCTCTTGGGTTTCAGGTTATCAAATTTATAGTGTGTCTGTGTGTGTGTATGTGAGCATATGCTCTTGTACAAAAGGCAGTCCATATGACAAAACCATTTTTTACAAGCATTTGCCTTTTTAAACAAAAAGTGTGCGGTATATTTTTATTAAATCATAGAAAACATTTGCATACAATTTTTTTCCTCTTTGGGGAAACTGGAATATTAAACTGGGTAACAAAACATTTAAACAATATATCTCACTTCAAACAGGGACAAGTTTTAAGTTGTCACATTTATTAAAAAAAAAAGATGGAACAGTCACAAGTAGTTGGCTTTTCTCACCTTTAGAACAGAAGAAGAATATCTCCTATAACCCTCAATTTTCTTTAAGGATGCTTTTTATTACTTAAATCGACCATGAGTTTAAAAGACAGTTAACTTGAATCCTGAATGCAAAATCAATTTCTTTTTACCTATGGAGGCTTTCAGAATACTGTAAATGCCCAATTTCAGGAGACAGTCTCATTCCACAGGGCTGATTAAGCTCTCTCTCTACAACAGCAAACATGTATAACGGTGTGGAATATATTTCAGAATAAGTTAAATATTAAGACATACTGTATGGCAATAATGTCCTACTTTTCTCCCTACTAAGTAAATTTGAAAGTTCATCTTAATATTACACATTTATAAAAGGATGAAGTCTGAGGGATCCAGTGATGCTGAAAATACACAACTGTCAGAACCACATTCTCTAAACAGTTGGCAGAATATATACAAATGGTCCTGCCAGAATCATGCTTGCATTCATTCTACAGGGGATCAAAAAGAACAGACTTTGAAGTTCACCAAATGAAAATGCACAGTGGTTTTGATGTTTATGTTATCACTTGTTTGGTTTCTGAGTAGAGATCCAGAGGTGACACTGTGACAAGTCTGCACTCGCACCAAATACTCACATAATATAAGCACAAATTAAATATTATCAAAATCATTTTAAATTAAATTGAAGACCACTATTTTCAAGTGCATGAGATACTTTTCCTCTAGCTTCTTGAAAACATGTCACAGATCAAGAATTAACAAGGAACATATTAGAGGTGAACCCACTTCCTCTGAGAACTCCCTGGAGTAACATATGAGACCTTTGGCAGGGGTAGGGGGAAATTATCCGCTGTAAATGGAGGGATGGTCTCAAAAACTCATTTTCCCAAACTCAGGTCTGGATTTTAGACTCATTAAAGAAAGAATTGAAAATGCAATCTTTGGGGCTGGTGTCTCGCCTATGTTGGCACTTTTCTTCCCCAGGACACTTCTTCCCCAAGAACTTCATACTGCAAGCCACACTAGAAGCTGCCTCCAGGTCCTGGGCCCCCTGTTGTCAATCTTCAGACCTGGGGCTCTCTCAGGGAACATATAAACAAATCTGGGGAAAATTGCCTTTCTGCGAGTTTTTCTTATATCAGTGAAAAACCTCTTGGGCTAAGAAAAATAATAATAGGAAGAGTTACCCCAATGTCATCTTCCCACAAGGCCTATCTTTTGCTCATCCTGCTGCTGAGAACTATAGAGTCAAATCAAATACTATTTGCCTGGCTTGTCCCAAATGGTATTAAACAGTCAAAAACATTCTTTGGACTACCTTATTCCTGAATTATGATGAAATCTTATCCAAGCATACTTGGTACGCCATCTTGTTACTGAGGGTGACCTGGAGATGAGGCCAGGCTTTTGTGCAGGTTGGGATTCTGGCTGTGTCTGTTTCGACTGCGGACAGATGAAAACATGGTGTTGCAGCCTGGCACTTTGCATTTATGGAGCTGGCGGAGGTGCACAGTCTTGTAGTGGGCTCTAAAGGTCCCTTTGTTACTGTATGTTTTTTGGCAGAGATGACAGGTTATGGGCAACCCAGAAGGCAGGCTGGCAAGGCTCTGGTCAGCCTTCTCCATCAGGACACAGATGGGGTACTCATCTTCCCCGGAGACAAGGCTTGGCCCTTCACAGTTCCCATCACTGTCCTCCATAAGCACAGTGCCTTCCTCGCTCGCCCCGTCAGAGTCCCAAGAGGAATGGCTGCTGCTCTCTGACTTCATGCTTGAGGTAGTGCTCAAATCCAGTATGGTGCCCTCGCTCAGGGGATGAGAGTTGTAGCTTTCCAGGCTGGCACTGTGGACTTGGGTTATAGGGTAGACCAGACTGCCCATTCGACTTGTCCCCTTGAAGATGACAGATGTCTGGGAGGCTTGCTGTGTGAAAGCCACATCCTGATAGGCCTCCTTAGCCACATCTTTCAGAAGGTAAGCTGCACGGAAATGGTCTTCACTGCTCTCCAATGCTTCTTGGTTCAATGTTTTTTGGTGGAGGTTTAGGTTTGAACTGTGTCTACAACAGTGAAAAGATGGTTAGCAATAGGTTGGGTTATTGTTTTAGGAAGATTCATCACTCTGAGTGAAGAGACTTGATAGATAACCAGGAAAATCTTGTGGCGTGGGAGAAGTGATGGTAAGTGGTTAGACCCCCATGGGATGTAATGTTTGTTTAGTGGACAATTGCCCACTGTTGTTCACTGCCTGTCAGAAGTTAGCATTTGCCAGTAAAGTCAAGAGTCTGGACACTGAGGATGTGTATTTTCTCTTTGATTTCCTCCATCTGATTGACATTTAACTTCTTGTAGCTCATCTATAGAGAATGGCTAAACTACTTCAATTAGGCCAGTTTAACTGGGACACTGGAACCAGAAGATCCCAGGAGAAAACTGGTCATAAACTATAGGGAACTAAGTAGATGACTTTATTTCAATGAAAAATGAAATCAGGAAATATTACTCTCTAGAGCTACATTGTGCAACATGATAGCCACTAGTCATACATGGATACTGAGCATCTATCTGAAATGTGGCTGGTGTCATATATTAAGATGATAATATTTCAGATATGCTGAATTAAATGTTATTAAAACTAACTGCACCTGTTTCTTTTTTCTTTTTTAAAGTGGCTACTAGAATATTTAAAGTTTCCTATGTGGCTCACATCATATTTCTATTGGATAGCGCTGGTCTAAAGCATCTGAACACACTTCACTTCAGAAGTTCTACATGTGTGGGTGAAAATCTGATTGGCTAGAATTGTGTGCATGTGTGTGTAGTTTAGTTCATATTTGCAGCGTTTGACTATCCTATACCAGACAGAAGTTTTGCAAATACAGCAGTATAAGCATACCACCAATCTTCTACCCAATGATTACTCCTGAAGGGCAGATAATGAGTATCCATTATGATACATGCCCTTTACTCTATGTTATCATTTGGATGTAACTTGTAAATCAATGTTGTTCTTTCTCAGAGATCCCCTGCTAACTTCTGACAACCAAAACAGCCCTTGTTTAGGTGTACAATATTAAAGGTAACAGGAGAATGATTCCAAATAGAGAAAATACCTTCCCCAATATAGATCAGAATGTATGCCAGGAACAAGTTGGGAAAAACATCCTCACCAAAATAACTAAGAATTTTCTCTTCCAAATACCCAAAGACATGTTTGTGAGGGAGGCTTAATCATATTTTATAAAATGTATACAATTTACTATTTAACGTCTGTCTTCTATCCTCTTACACTTTTTTTTCCAGACATGATCAGAATTATACTCCCAGATCACCGACTTTGCAAGTAGCTCTTTTTAACTGCAACTCTGCCCTGTGATTATGTCAGCATTCTGGGTTGAAGGGGCTGGTATATGTTGACAGAAAACCAGACAAATCGACATATAGGTTCCAATATATACAAGCGGTTAAAAAAAAAAAGCTAAGACAAACACATTTACGGGAATCTTGTACAGAAAGATTCCTACTGCAACAAAGCAAATCTCTGGGCCTCATACCCAACTACTGAGTTTCCCATGAAAACCAAGAGCTAACTTGTGGGATCCTCTCACCCCTCAGACATTATTTTCCTTTTTCATTTTGATTCCCTGGTGAGTGTAGGGTCTTCCAGAGGCTACATGACATGATATTGCAACAGAATGAATGCAGAAGCAGATATGAGACTCTAGCTGTCTTCTACTAAGCCAGACATTAAAGAGATTTTTTTAAAAATGTAAAACAAAGCCACTATCCCACATTTTTTGTTTTTTTAAATGTTAACATGCTTATTTTTTAAAGTGACATAATGTATATTTTTTTCATTTTTAATTTCTAATACAATAAATATTGACAGATACAACCTAAATAGAGAAAGGATCTTGAGGGTCCTTAAGTGTTTGTAAAGGAGGTTATGCGATCAAAATGTTTCACAGCTATTGGTTTAGACATACTCCTTCTTCCAGGAAGCGTTCCTTTTTAAAAAATTATTATTTTTTTTTTTGTAGAGATGGGGGTCTTGCTATGTTGCCTAGGCTGGCCTTGAACTCCTGGCCTCAAGTAATCCTCCTGCCTTGGTCTTCCTTAACTTCTCAAGGATTCTTGTTAGTTGCCCTCTCATGTGCCCATAGAAGACTACATTTCCCCCACTGTAGAAGTCATCACATTTAGTGTAATTGCCTGTTTACTGGTCTGTCTCCTCCACTATACTGAAGGTCTTTGTGGGCAGGGACAGTGTCCCCAGCACCTAACACAGAAGGTTCTTCTGTCGGCTAAATAAGCATTCAGGATATTGTCCCAGTCCCTTCCTGATGGAACTTAGTAACTGCTGTTGGCAGTAGCAGTGGTTCAAAGAGGGCAAGATAGCTGTCCCCACAGCAATGTGGTCCTCAAACTCAGAAAAATGGTGGTGGGTCTGGGCCTGCCCACAAAGTCCTATTGAAAATGATATCATAGCCGGGCTCGGTGGCTCAGCCTGTAATCCCACACCTTGGGAGGCTGAGGTGAGTGGATTGCCTGAGCCCACGGGTTCGAGACCCGCCTGGGCAACTTGGTGAGACCTCATCTCTACAATAAACCAAAAAATCAGCCAGGTGTGGTAGCATGTGCCTGTAGTTCCGGCTACTCGGAAGGCCGAGGCGGAAGGATCTCCGGAGCCCAGCAGGTCGTGGCTGCAGTGGCCGGGAGCGGCCACTGCACTCCAGTCTGGGCGACAGAGTGAGACTCCAACTCAAAAAAAAAAAAAAGAAAAGAAAATGGTATCATTTTAATAATAGATTATAGTTCTAGACTGCTGGAATTAGTAATTTTTACTTTGACTGCAAGATACTTTCCTGTTGTGGTGGTGGGGGAGGGCTCAGATCTACAGATAGGTCAGAACATAAGAAAATGAAAAGTAAAAATAGATGAAAATATGCCTTCTGATTTAGTAGATATTGTAGGCTAGAACAATATCACAAATGTCAAGCATAAACTGACCAATATGACTATCTCTTTTTCATAACAACAGCTTATTCATGAGCAAATACTCCTCCTCTTGGAGGGTGAAGGAGAAGGACTGATTCACTAATTAGGGTACACTGGAGGTTTGGTTCAACATCCCAGCAACAGGAGCAGGAATTTTAACTAATATCTTATGTACTCTATCTTCTTTGCTAAAGACAATGAATATGTTCTTATGAGCCCTGTCCAAGAATGTATGTTGGAGTCTGTACATTTTCATCCTCTTAGCAAATTCGGCATTACAATTTGGACTAAGTGGTAGTGTTGAACTGCTTCAAGTCAAGCTCGTTTCAGCAAATGTAGCATTTTAATATTTTGTGAACCATTTATCATTTATCATATTGCATTTCATCAGACAGCTGATCATTTCCTTAAGCCTTCCTGGGTCTTTTCATATGCGTGCTATTTCATTTATAGGATGGGAAAAAGGGTGACCTGAAGAGTAAAGTGACCCAATTTCATGAAGAAATGCACAAGCAAGATGGTAACACCAGTGCTGTGGTCCCAAAGTGATGAGATACACTCAAAACTGTAAACAGTTTTGATTTTGTGTGTGTCATGAAAAGTCAGGATCTTTCATCCGCTGAAACAACCTGCTAATCACTTTTATTCTTTGATATTTTAATGTTTTTAAAAAATCTTCAATCAAGCAGTTATTCTTCCCTTCAAATGTAACTGGCTAACTAGAAATCAAGGAAATGTTTCATTTGATGGACTTCATACTATAAAATGAGAATCATAGTTTCATTATTGGGAGGTTTGGGGAAGCTACAGTGGTAATTTTAAAAGCTCCCTCCACACTCTGCTTCAAATAGTTATTATCTTTTACCCAAGCTGCTAATGTGACAACTAGTTCATGATTCCTAGTTCATATCCCATACCCTTGGGATCAGATGTGTTTCTGAATTCAGAATTTCTCAGACTTCAGAAAAGCAAAATGATACACATAATGAAATATTATATTAATGGTCTATAATAAATCCACTAATATCTCTGTAATAATATATATTAAAAATCTACACCAAGGGAGATTTCAAAAAAGATTACAAATAACCTCATATCATTTTGGGTCAGGTTTTGCAGCCAAATTAGTTTAGATTTTTGAAAGTGAAAATTTATAAATAGAGAAACATGAAAAGTCATAGGACAGTGTTTCTCAAACTGTGGTCCTTGGAACAGTAATGGCAGCATTATCAGGGAATGTGTTAGAAGTGCTGATGCTCAGGCCTTATACCAGACCCAGTGAAGCAGAAATTCTAGGGGTGGTGCCCAGAAGTCTGTGTTTTAACAACCCTCCAGGTGATTCTGATGCATGTTGAAGTTTAAGAACCAATGCCTTAGAAGAAATGATTGCCAACAGATGTCTTACCTGTCTCTGCTCCTGCGGGAAGGGAAGGTAGCATTACAGCCCTCCACTGTGCATCGATGTGTTTCTTTGGCATGCATATTCTTGTGGTGCATTTTCACACTGCAAGCGTTTTTAAAGGTCTTCTTGCAGATGTCACACTGGAAGCGATTTTCTTCCATCTGCCTTGCTAATGCATGCTGACCCATGTGCTCCAGTTCTTTAGAGTCTTCGAGACAAGGAAAAGCCATTCCCCTGTTGGACAAACCACCGAAGAGTCCCCCAGCAAGTAGGCGTTGCTGTAGTTCCATGTAGTCAGAAAAAGGAACTCGGGGCTCCATCCCAGGTGTGAAGAGGTGTTCATGGCCACTATCCTCAACTTCCCGTGGCACCATGATCAATGCTGGCATCTGCTCAGCATCCCTCTCTGAGTTGTGTGAGGTTGGCCCAGGGGTTTGGCTGATGGCTCCACGGGACTCAGTCACTGAATCAAGATGGCAGGGCCTCTCTCCTTCAGGGAGAGGCTTACCTAAGCTTCCTGACTGCAAGTGCTGCTCCTCAGATGCTCTGTCTGACTGAGGACTGCAGGCTTCTGGTTCATCTTCACTGACCACCTGCAGAGGCATGTCTTCATCTGAGCTGAGGCTATGCCTCTCCTTATTAGCTATTTCCACAGCTTCCTTCTCTATTTTAATAGGCATACTGGACTTCCGGGATTTCTTCTTGGGAAGGGCATCAAATGGCATTTCATTTGAAACCAGCTGTTCTGGGATTGAAGAAGACAACAGAGGGAGGGAAGGCAGCATCCCAGGTGTGTTTGCCAGCTCAGCGGGTGTGGCTGGACTGTGGTAGAAAGGAAGGACTGGCTGAACTGTCTTTAGATTGGGATAAAGCACACCATTTTGCCCAATGTTTGGGAAGGCTGGTTGGCCTTTGGAATCGTCCCCTGAACTAGGGTAGCTTGGGAGAGGCCTACAGTCTGTGGACGTCACCATGAAACCTGGGCACTTGTAGTTCTCAGATCTGGCCAGGTTCAGGCTGTTCCTGAGATCTTTGTCCCGGTTATTTCTGTTCATTGGCATGTGCAACCGAGGGTTGGGGTTGGCACTGTGGCGGTTCCGGCTCCTCAGGGAGCTGAACACCATGTTACACCCTTCGATGGTGCACTTATGCTTGATCTTAAGGTGCACGGCATTGTAGTGGATCTTGAGGGTGCCTTTATCATAGAAGGTCTTCTCACACGCAGTGCAGAACACCCGGCCCTTCTTTGTACCAAGACTGTTCCTCTCGGGCTTCACTTTGGCCTCAGGAGATAACTGTGTCCTTTCAAGCTTAGTGACAATGTTATAAGAGCTGGAGTCACTTAAATGGGTATTGTCTTCTTTTTTAGTAACAGCATCTGGACAGTTTAAACACTGATCTTTTTCAACCTGAAATAGTGTGGAATTGGAAGTTAAGAAACTGCTGTCGGGGAAAGGCCCATGGATTTCCTGTTTGGGGTCCTGACTTTGGTCCTGACCCTGATCCAGCATATATTGTTCAGGAAGTGACCCTATCAGTGCAGGAGGCAGAGGGTTGAAGAACTGGAAAGGCAGCATGAAAGTCATGTTGCTTATGAGGTTCTCAAAAGGGTGTAAACTGTTGGGGCTTCCTTTGTCCACAGGAGTGGGGAGGCCAGAACTCCTGTGGCTGCAGCTCTCGATGAAAGCCCTGATATCTACATTTGCTGCAGAAGGTGGTATGATGATGGGTTGTTCTTCTTTCTCTTGAATTGCCATGAGTTCAACTATGGACTTGGTCTCTCCAAAACGAAGGAACTGCTGCAAGGTAGCCACTTCTTCCTCACTGGTCATGATGCTCCAGTGATCCAACACCTTTCCTGATGCATCCTAAACCCAAACCAGAATTTAGAAGTGTGATCAATTTACAACTCCTCTAAGCAGCCAATTGGTCAGGGCCTCCATGAGACTATGGGATATACCTTAGTGCATATTAGAAAAAGGTACCTTCTCTGGATGAGCACAGGGCTTGGGAAGTTCAGTCCCTGCTCGCCTACACTCCCAAGCCAGAAGTTTTGTGTGACACATAAATTGCTCAAATATAATAAGCAGTGGTCCTACTCCTGGTCCAAAAGAGGGAGATAAAATCATACTATGGCCAGACGTGGTGGCTAACACCTATAATTCCAGTGCTTTGGGAGGCCAAGGCAGGAGGATTTCTTAAGGCCAGGAGGTCAAGACCAGCTGGGCAACATAGTGAGACCCTGTCTCTACAGAAAATAAAAAAGAATTAGCTGGGCATGGTGGTGCACCCCTGTAGCCCCAGCTATTCAGGAGGCTGAGGTATTGCTTGAATCCAGGAGTTTGAAGCTGCAGTAAACTATGATGGTGCCACTGTACTACAGCCTGAGCAATAGAGGGAGACCTTGTCTCTTAAAAAAATCACTCAAGCCAAAGTCAAGGAAATTTGGGGACTATTTTTTTACCTTATTTCAAACCAAATGGTTGTCTTGCATTAGGCATAATAATTTTCCCTACCAAAATTAAAATAGGTATCATTTGAACAATAGTAACTTCTTTATCCAAAGAGTATAGACAGAGCAATCAGGCCTAGTATAGCTCAAGTATTCATTTGCTGCAAGTTTAATAATCTTCCTAAGCAACTAACATTAGAAACCAAATGAACCTATATTGATCTATTGCTCATGTTCACAAAGCAAAGCTTTAATTACACTGGAGTGTTGGAGATCTTTCAAACTCTAGCAAGGCCTAACTTTTCCCAAAACTACAATAAATATTTTATCACAGAACATGTATTTGATGGCCTACTGAGATTTTTCACAGTGCATGTGATAGTTTTGAAGATGATGAGGAATGTAACATCATAAATTTTTCATGCACTGGAGGTTCAAGGTAATTGATTCCATATTTTTAATCCTAACACTAGAAAGCAAGATTATTAAGATCATTAAATATTGATCTATGTCATAATGTAAGATCATAAAGCTATTCTACATAAACGGTTGTTTCTAGCCTGCTGGGGGTCCTGAACTAGAGGTGAGCAGATGTTTTTCCAGGGAAAGATTATGAGCTTTTGAGTTAAAAAGAATTGGGTTAAAATTCTGGATCTGCCATATCTTAGTGGAATGACTTTCAGCAAGATTTTGTAGCACTCTGAGACTCTGTTTTTTTGACTAGAAAATGGGGATAATATATGTACCTCATAAGCTTCTAGAAGATGGCCTAGGTCAATAAAATGTTGTTATTAGTGTTCACTTTAATGATATGACCTACATGAGTAAGACTGACATCTGTGATGGTCTTGTAAATACATTAATCCCCCATTTCACTGAAATTTTTATCAAGGTTAGCTGACATTTTCTAGTGCAGCGGTGAGAAAAAATGCTGTAGCTATTTCATATCTCAAAGAAATGACACTTCATTTATCTCAGGAAATGTGTTCTGTGCTTATAAAAACATCTTGAAGACCTCTTTGGATGTGAAACATGAGGCCTACACCCATAGCATAGCCTCAGAAGAGAAGTAAACTACTCTGCAAAATAAAGAGAGAAGGGATAAAGAGCATGGAACACTGGAGAAAAGAAAATATGAGGAGGCCAGAAAAGAATTGGGGAGAGAATAGAATGAGCAAGTGCATTAACATAGAAATATCACAAGAAATGGAACCTAGGGAGGAAAGCCAACAGTGGGATGGCAGAAGGCTTTAAAGAACAGGAAGGTGTGACATGAAATTGTCAACTGTTTGCTGGATGATTCTGTCATTTAAGTCACTTTCTCACCTCCAAACTGTGTCAGTAGGTAGCGTGAGGCTAATGAAAGAAATGAAGGCAGCACCCAAATGGGGCAAATGGTTTTTGTGGAAGAGGTGACTTAGTAAAAGTTAAATCAACTAATATGCAATGCCTGTATGTCTTGAAGTTTCACAGATATCTTGGGGAAAGTACTGGACTCCCCCCAGAACATGAGGTAGAAGCTTAAGCCATTAGAAAAAAGGATAACCATGTATGGCTGTAACATTGGTTACATCTGGGTTACATCATTTACATGGCACAAATCTCAGAAAACACTCAAGGAGAGCTGTGGCCATGGTCACTATACCTGCAACACGTATCCACGAATGTAATCCTGAAGGGTCCAGTCCAAGGCATGGAGGATCTGGAGAACCTCATCTTGCTTCAACACACTGAAGAGTCGGTCCAGCAGAATTTTCAGGCGAACAGGAATGGCCTGGGTCCCATAGAGCATGAGGCTGCTAATATCAAACACCACATTGGACTGCACAATCTCTACCTGGCTGGTTGGATACACAGCAGGGAGCCTCAGCTTGCTTAGAGCTGAAAAATCAAATGGAAGAAATGCCATTTTGAAAAGTTCCATCTTAAGAAACACTGTACAGAAAGTAGGATAGGGCTAATTTTCAGTTATCTCTTCCAAAAGAAAAAACATGAATATACAAATGATTAATAACCATAATAGCTTTCAGGTTTCAAGTTGTTCACAGGAACTTCTAAAATAAAATTGACTGGCCTGAGACTTTTCTCCCTTTCTTGTGGTCTCCCTAAGAAGTGAAATAGTCACAAACAGAGAAGAAACAAGGAAAAGGGGGAAAAGCAAAGGTGGTGGGTATATAATCAGGAAGCACAGAGTTTGGAGGTAAAGAACCTCAGCTAGGGAATCCAAGAGATTTGGGGTTGAACCCTAGTCTGCTATCTTCTAGTTGTAAGCCTCAACAAATTAAACCCCTAAGGCCAAGCTGTTCAATGTAGTAGCTATCAGTCACATATGGCTATGTAAATTAAGATTTAAATTAATTAAAATAAAAAACAATTAGGAATTCCATTTTTCGGTCACACTGATCACATTTCAGGTACCCAGTAGCCACAAGTGGCTATTATAGGGTTGTCAGAGTTTGAAAATAAAACAACAGGAGGCTAAGTTAAATCTGAATATAAACTTTAGATAAATGATGAATTGGGTGGGATATACTTATACTAAAAATATTCAATGGGACATACTTAGGCAAAAAAGTATCAATTGTTTATCTGAAATTTGAACTTAACTGAGCATTTTGTATTTTCTCTGGCAACCCTAGGCTACAGGCTACTATATTAGACAGCACAGAAAATTTCCATCATTGCAGAATCATTGCACTGAAGCACCAGTTTCTATACCTTTAGAATGAGGTTAATAAGATACTTACCACATAGAGTTGTTAAGATTCATATAACATATGAAGTAGTTAGTTTACTAGTTAGCTGTTATTCTTATTATTAAATCAGTTTCTGAATAACTATAAGTTATTTAGAGGGAACACTATTAGAGGCCAAGAGAGAGAGAAAAATAAAGTTACCATGGGCCACCCATCCATGTTTGCACTGCTCACACTGACGGTGGTTTATTTTACCGGGTTTGAAACGCTGGCAACTACAGCTCAGAGTACAGCCGATAGCCTGCAAAAGAGAACACAGGTATATGTAGCACGTAAGTGATGTTGCAAAACAATCATTGAGTTTATGAAAGAAAACATAGTCCTCTGTTCAGCAGCACTTATTGAGCAATGCGTGCCCACCTCGTGCCAGGCCCAGAGGTATAAGGTGTATATTGTACCCTGGAAAGATGAGCAGCAGCTCAGCACTTGGGGACTATGAACACATTACACACCTATTCCACATGAGGGAATGGGTTAAAAACATCAGAACTTTTTTTTAAAATAAGAAAAGATTATAGGTTAGAAGAAAATATCCTGCTCTGTTATTAAGGTCATAGAAAGGGTGAACAGCAACCTGAAAGATGTATAGAGGTCGTCTTGGAACAAGTAGAAGAGAGAATGATCAGAACTGAGAATAATTTATGTATGGAATTTGTTGCCTCCCCAAAATGTGGTAGAAGCTGAAAATATAAATAGATTTGAGAACATGTAATGGCTGACTACACCAAGGATGATTCCCTGACTCCACTCACTGAACTGTGTGACTGTCAGAGACAGACACAGGCTGGACAAGCCCTGTAGATACCCCAGTTGCACATCACAGTGCCATGACTGATGTGGAGGTATGGAGTGTATAAAATACAGTTGAAATAGAAAATAGAAATGTACATGTCCAACAAAGTTTTAGTAACAAGAACAAAGCCCCATGTATATTTTTAAGGTGAGCTTCTCAAAAGGAGTTAGAGTCCTGAAGAACATATTCTATTATTAAACAGAAAAAATCCTCAAAGGAGCTCTGTCAGTGAGGTTCCTGGGAAGAGCTGCTGGGTAGAATTCAAATGATTCATGAGAGTCTTGAAACTGGGGAGTGTGTGTATGGAGGCGGGATGAAAAAGCCCTACAATTATGAGTTTAAACCTCTAATCTGCTAATTGAGGGACTATGTGCCCTTGTGTGGGGAAAAGGGAAGGGATAATCTGGCTGAGGACTTGGGAAACTCACTTTAAGGTATATATAATCAGTCTTCACTTAAAAATTGGTTGCTGGTAGGATTGTAAAATGGTATGGTCACTTTGGAAAGCATTCTGGCAGTTCCTCAAAAAGTCAAACACAGACTTACTATATGACCCAGAAATTCCATTCCTAGGTATATACCCAAGAGAATGAAAATAAATGTCCACACAAAAACTTTTACATGAGTGTTCATAGAAGCATTTGGCAATTCACAATTGCAAAATGTAGAAACAACCCCAACGTCCATCAACTGATGATCAGACGAACAAAATGTGATATATTCATACAATCAGATATTTGGCAATAAAAAAGAATGAAATATTTACACATGCTTTAATATGAGTGAATCTTGAAAATATTATGCTATGTGAAAGAAGTCAGGTACAAAAGCCACAGAGTATATGATTCCATTTACATGAACATCAAGAATAGGCCAATCCATAGAGGCAGAGAGTAGATTAGTGGTTACCAGGAGCTGTGGGAAATGCGGGAGGGAGCGGAAGTGACTGCTAATCATTGCTGGTGATGGGGAGAATGTTCTTTGTTTTCACCTTTTAGAAAAAAAGCTTTATTGAGATACAATTTGCATATCCTATAACCTACCACTTAGAGTATACATTGCAATGATTTTAGTATAAAGTTGTAAAACCATCATCACAATCTGGTTTTAGAATATTTCTCATCTTTCCCCAAAGTGTACAAGATTATGGTAAACATATTTTCATTTCTCTTGAGTATAGTCCCAGGAGTGGAACTGCTAGGTCATATAGTACATTTTTAAGGAAACACCAAACCGTTTTCCAAAGCAGCTGCACCATTTTACATTCCCACCAGCAATGTATGAGGGTTCCAATTTCTTCACATCCTTGACAACACTTGTTATTGTCTGTCTTTTTTATTATAGCCATCCTAGCAGGTGTGAGTGGTATCTCACCGCGGTTTTGATTTGCATTTCCCTGATGGCTAATGGTGTTCAGCATCTTTTCATGTGCTTATTGGACATCTATATATCTATTTGGGAGACATGTCTATTCAGATCTTTTGCCCATTTTTTAATCAGATTGCCTTTTTAGTATTGAGTTGTAAGAGATTTTTGTATATTTTAGGTACAAGTACATTGCCAAATATATGATTTGCACATATTTTCTCCCTTCCTTGGATTATCTTTTCATTTTCTTTAAGGAGTCCTTTGATGCACAGAAGTCAAATTTTGACCAAAGTTTCTTTCTGAGGTGATTAAAATGTTCTAAAATTAGTTGGTAGCAATAGTTGCACAACTCCATGAATACACTAAAAGTCACTCCACTGTACAATACTTTATAAGGGTGAAATTGTGGTATGTCAGTTATATCTCAATAAAAATATTATTTAAAAAATCAGTGACCCTGCTGAAATACAGGTTAAAATTTCCACGATATGGCTATCTTTTATGATTTCTTTTGGGTTAGGATGGGCCTGCATAGAGCTGCAACTGGGGATTTTCCAGTGAAGAAATAAGGCTGTTCATAACTGAGATGTTTTGGCAAATAGCAACAGCATAGTTAAATCTGTTCAAGAGGCTACCAAAAAACAGGACATATGGGAGTAAAGGTTTAGCTCTTTGTATATACAGTATAATACAAAGAACTCCATGTGATCACACTGTCTTACCTTAATAGAGCATGCATTCTCAAGGCGTGTGATATTCTCAAAGGAGTAAAAAATTGGTTAAGGGTGGGGAAGTGAAAAATCATTCTCTTTATGTATAAAGCACAGATATACATACATATATGAACAGGTATATAGTATATGGTGTGATGCTAAAATTCCACTGGGAGGCACAACTAAGAAAAAATTTGTAAAATCTCCTTGGATGTGGGGGCAGTTAATGAAAAAAAGGTTAAGAAACACTGTTATAGTGCCAGAAATCATTTTACTTTTTGGTTATAGAATTCTCCTTCTATATACATATACAAATGTATTAAATACCTAATCATACACATCTATATAACTATACCTATACACATAGTTATATAGCTACCTTGAATGGAAGTTAAAGGATAAAATGGAGTGATGGTGTAATTTACATTACACACTATCAAAACAAAAATTTTAAAAGGCACCATTAACTTAGTTTGTGGTACCTCTAATAAGTTGTTCAATATCTCAAACTTGGCTGTAACCCTCTGAATATCAGCTCAAAATTAAATCAATCATCTGCATATTCTCAGTAGCTACTAGCACACTTAGAATTAAACCTATGAAATATTTCACAATCTAGATGATATAAATATGACTTTTTAAATAAACTTTTTTTTTTTTTTTGAGTTGGAGTCTCACTTCGTCGTCCAGACAGGAGTGCAGTGGCACGCTCCTGGCCACCACAGCCTCAACCTGCTGGGCTCCGGCGATCCTTCCGCCTCAGCCTTCCAAGTAGCTGGAACTACAGGTGCGTGCTACCACACCCGGCTAATTTTTGATTTATTGTAGAGACGAGGTCTCGCCAAGTTGCCCGGGCAGGTCTCGAACCCGCAGGCTCAGGCAATCCACTCACCTTGGCCTCCCAAAGTGCTGGGATTACAGGCTGAGCCACTGAGCCCAGCCTAAAGAAACTTTTTTAAATGGAGAAAAATTCTTATTTTGTATTATATCCCTCCAAATGCCATTCACTCTTTAAAAACAAGATGTTAGAACTATACAAAGTAAACTCACATTTCATTCATTTGGAAAGAAGACCTGCTTTTAACCAGAGATAGAGCTGTCCTTGAGCACGTTTCCCCCACTTCCTGAAGACTGCTCAAAAGGCTCACATGCATGCAAAGTCCCAGGAAACTCTGGGTGATTCTGTCTCAGGTTTGGCACAGTAAAACCATAGAGGAAACAATTCCAAATGCATTTCATAGCCTAAGACTGAAACTTATTTTCTGCATCTTTCATCACCTAAATCAGGTTTCCTCAACTTTGGCACTACTGACATTTTGGGGTGGATACTTCTTTGTGATGGGATGCTGTCTTGTGCATTGTACAATGTCTGGTAGCATCCCTGACTTCTACCCACCAAATGCTAGTTATACCCCACTCCTCCAGTTATGACAACCACAAATGTCTCCAGACACTGTCAAATTCCCTTGGGGCCTACACCATCCCTAGTTGAGACCACAACTTTTAGTTTGGGAACAGAATTTTAAACAATTTTATCTATAATTCAATGCATGAATGCTACTTTATAAAAAAAATTTATGTGGTTCTATATGAACCCATTTGAATAGGCTTTATAAAAAGCGCATTAAACATCTATGGAAATAAGTCCCAGAGGAGTTATTTATGGACTGAAAAACCTAATTACAGTGTCTTAGAAAACTTCCAATATCAAGACCCTTGGGGTTTTCCACCCATTGCAGAACCCCATGATATAGTAAAATTATAGCACCATTTTCTAAAGATAAATTAAAACTTCTAAAATGAAATCAAACCCAAAAATTCTAATTTCAAAACAAAAAGTACCCGTATAAATCAAAATGGGAAACTCCTAAAGTTTACATTTTTTCCCTTGGAATTATAATACTTGTTCCATTCTTCAGAAACATAAGCAGATGTTTAAAACATTCTGAATTCATCAGGACATGATTATTGTTTTTTACACACTCATCTTATTCAGACTATTTCCAGAATTGTTATTAATCACTTTGATGTGCTACAAATCAACAGTAAAAATTTGATTTTCTTTTTTGTAATTATCTTTTGCTCATTCATTCACCCCAAAACTACTGACATAGTATGTGATGGATGACTGGGTTTTGCAGTCTTGGGATGGAACGTTATGATCGAGCTTTAAGGCAGGCTCAGAGGACTCACTTCATCTCCCAGACACCCCTGCTCCAACTTCAGCTTGGGGAAATGCTACCACAGGCCTCTTGTCAGGGGATGCTGAGTTGAATTCCTGACAGCAGCCAGCCCAGGCACACAATGGAGAAGATACAGACATCCAGTGCCAGACAGTGTAGGCCTCTAATGGGTTTTGAATCATTG